CGATATCTATAACCATCGATATTTATGTCGCTATTTTGATTTTTATTAAAATTTTACGTTCATTTTTTCTGTCTCCTCATATGTTCTTCTTATTTATTGGATGATTCGATGACCTAGATTATATTTTGAATATTTTAGATTGTTTTATTATCTATCGATTTATTTAACATCATAATGGTAAATATCCTTGAATTTATTTCTCAAAAATTATTAAACGAAAAAAAAAAAACCGTTTCTTTTCTATAGTCAAAAGATAATATAAAAACTACTAAATCATTTAATGAACAAACAACAAAAAAAACTCCTACGAAAACAAAAGGACGTTCATTTTGTTGTTCAATATTTATTTATACATGTGTTTTTGTTTCTGGTGTTGTTATTGGTATGTTAAATTAAATAAAACTTTTTTTTTTTTTTAGTATTATATGTTTTGTTTATTTAGCAACGATATTACCTGAGTTAGTTGGTCATCATTTTAAACAACCCTATGGCAAAGAATACGGTTGTATTGAAAATTGAGATTTAAAAAAACGAATGAAGGAAATTTTTTTATTGTTAGGTGTTATGGCTGAACAAATAATTAAAGATTTACCCAAATATTTGGAAAATTTACGTCAAACAGCTATGGTATTTGGTCGTGATATAGTCGATCGTGTTTGGGATCTTAAAAATGAACTTGAACGACGAGTTGAAAATATGAATAATAAAAAAGAAGATACAATAAAAAGTAAATAAATTATTAAATAAAAAATTTTTTTTTAATTCCTTTTTTAATTAGCAAAAACAGGCACACAACGTCCAACAACTCAAAGTAAGGTTTTTGAATTTTCTAAAATAAAATAAAATAAAATTTTATCGTCTTTTTATTCAGCAACAACACGAACCAATACTAGTCAGTTTTAATTTATGTTATTAATTTTTAAAGATTTCTTGTTTTTTTTTTTCTCAATAGAAAAAGATCAATCACATGATAAAAAACAAGCAGCAGGTACAGCAAATAAATAAACTAACCACCTCCCTCCGCCTGATCAGAACAAAAGACCAAAAGCCTTTTTCGGAAATCCAATAAATTTGAGTACTTGTAAATCCAGTTTTTAAGTAAAATGCCGTTCCTTTTAAATTAAAATTTCTATTTGCTTCTCAGCAAAAATCCTGATTTTCCTGTGTTTTTTTGCTAAAAACACTTGTTTGAATACCAAAAGAGTTTTTCAAAAAAACTCTTGGTTTTCTAGACGGATATTAGAAAAAAAATTGTTCTGAATGCATGGCCATGTCCTTTTACTCTGAGAGATAGTTATTACTATTGCTAGAATCCATGATTGTTTCTAAGGAGCTTAAAATTCTCCTAGTAAAAAAAAAACTAGACATAAGATTTTCTATAATCTTATGAGGTAGAAAGATTTTTCAAGAATCTTATAATATGACTTACGAGAGAACGTTTCGAAGTGTCAAATCACTTTTGAATCGAAACTATATGCATCATGTAGACTCGAATGAACTATGAATACCGTAGAACACAAGGAAGACTAAGTGTTCGAATTTCGTTTTTAAACTTGTCATCGAGACAGGTCTTAATGAGAATAGTCTATTGTAAAAGTTTCAAATCTTTTAAGTACTTCTATCCTAAGATATGGCTATGATAAATGCATGTTTTCCAAGTTGTTCATTCACAAATAGTAAATTCCGATGTTCTTATTTGAGAATAGATGCAATCGAAAAATCTAAAACTTTTACAATAAGCTATTCTTGCTAGTCTCTATGCAAAACTTCAAATCGAAATTCGAATTTCAGTTTTTCTGAAGAAGGACCACAGTATTCATGGTTCATTGAAGCCTACATGATGCATATAGTCTCGATCTCACACTTAGAAACATTTTTTCGTTAGTGCAAGATTTCTGTGATTACTGTTGCCGTCTGATTACTTGATTACGGTTCGATAGAAAGTCTAAAAAAAATTTTGCAAGAAGTCCTTTTATTCCATTTCCGTTCTAATCGAGAGCCTTGACTATTATTAGTAGAATTTAGTGAATTAATGCAAAATATTTTATTATAGACGATCGATCACCACAAACCAACGAATTTTAAAAAAGAAGATTTAATGATCAAACAATTGACTTATCATTCTAACGAAAGTTATTCATATCAATGTTTCTTCATATCTCTTGTCTTTCATTCTATGTTTCATTCCATTTTATTTCATAAGAAAAATAAGACAAAATTATTGTTAATATCTTAATTTCTTTAAATATTTATTGAATAATTATTATGAAGAAGCTATTCATATACAAAATATAATTGATATAGAGACATATTATTTAACTATATAGTATAACAGTCAAGTAAATGTTAGCAATAATGATGTCAGGATGGATGACTTCATTAATTGATATTAAATATCACATGATCGTTTGAAGGTCTCTTCAAAAACAGATTCGTTTCTTTCAGATTAACCAACATTTTGATAAATACATTGAAGGATAGCTCGAAATCGGATATTTAAGGCCCTCCCCCACTCAAAAACCGATCTCAGCCCAGGTACATTCAAATGGGCTGAAATTTGGAGCATATGTTGGGGCTGAAGTGAGGAGACTGGTAAAATTTTCTGCTCGATACTACGAGGTTTGACAGAGATATGAACCAAACAAGGGTCAAAAATAGCTCATTTTCTGTCCAAGATTTCTTGGTCCAGGCTCTTCTAATACATTTAATTTTTTTTTGTTTGAAAGAGCATGTCAAAATGCAGGGCACCACAGAATCCTTTTTTTCAAATGTTCACTTGTTTAGCGGAGAAAGGGGATCACAAGTTCAATGACTCAAAAAACGTGCCAAAAGTGGGTGTCTAGTTACATAAACGTCTATATATATAATAAAAAACAAAGCTTAATTTAAAAAAAAGACTCTGTGGTGCCCTGTATCTCGACGCACTCTTTCAAACAAAAAAAATTAAATATATTGAAAGACACTGGACCGAGAAATCTTGGACAAAAGACCACAAAATCGCTAACTGAGAAAAAACGAAAAACATTTTTCGTTTTTTTAAAAATAAGCATAGTTTTCAAGAAGAGGTTAACGAAAGACATCAAAATTTTTAGCCAAAAGAGGAGTGTTAGATAAAAAACCATATCATTGCTAAAAGATCTGAAGACGGGCTATCTTCCTATGCATTTATTTCAATTTTGGAATTTGTGACGAAAATTGACTTTTTTGAGTGGGGGGGGGGGGGGGGGGGGCTTAAAAAAAAAAATTTTTTCTCCTAGAAATCTCCAAAGAGCGTCGTTGTAATCAATTCATTTTGTTTTTTTATGAAAGAGCATGTGAAGCTACCGTGCCTGACAAACCCTAATTTTTTATTATGATATAAAGAAGCACTTCTCTAAATAGATGACCTTTTTTGAGACTTTTTCGAGGTGTTAAGCTTGTCTTCTTTTTTTTACATATAAAAAATTAGAATTTAAAAAAAAAGCCACTACAGTTTGACATGCTCTTTCAAATAAGAATACATAAAACCTATGGAATGAAGGTCTATATTTTGAAAATTTTTGTAGCTTTTGTTGTCAAATTACTCTGTTATTGTTGTTACAATCGAGTTTAACCATTGTTAAATAACGGAAAGGCGTGAAACTCGAGACTATTTCGTATTTGCATTTTGTTTGCTTCGTTGTCGTTAGTTATGTTCAATATTGTGCAATCGTTTCTCAAATACATTCAATTCAAGGTTTCGTTCTATACATTCTGAACTCGTATCCAATTTGAAAACCACGTTGTTACTTTTCAACACGAATACCTTCATCGTCAACATCGACAGACCAATATCCAAACTTTTGAGTATTGAAAATAGTTATACTTTCAACGATATTTCGATTTTATAGATAGGAAAAACAAAAAAGATACATAACATATGCCAGCAAACTCATTTTATTTCCTATGATTCACCCTTCAGTGGAGGAAACAAGATCTTGTGGCATACTGGTAACAATATAATTTCATAACAGCTGACTCAGTATTTTCACAAGGATTGTTATCTTTTATTAGAAAAACAAAATCTATAATTGACGTCGAATTTAATCAATTACAATAATCAGAACCATTGTTAATTAACTGATTTTTTCAACTTTCTAATAAATATGTCGATAAATGACATTTAACTAATATTTTTAAAATTATTCAATGCTCTGAAACTTTTATAGAATAATTCACAATGAATTCTGGAATAAAATAAAAATAGAAATACAAGCAATGTTTGTTCATGATCCATTTTGGACTCAAGTAATCAGATTCTAAATTAACCTTTGTGGAATGTAACCTAAAAGTAATGTTGAAGTATATGAATTAGAAATTTGTCCCTCTTCCACACACAGACATAACCACGAAACCAAAGTCCATTGCAAGATTAGTATAATAGTTGTCATTTACTGTCACATTCACTGCAATATATTGTGATTAATATCTTTCAACGTTAACATACATTAATAGTGAATAGAAATTCATACATTGAAACATATATTGATTAATTTCCTCTTGTACAATACGAGCAACTCCATTGTATTTCACATTTTAATCCCGTAGACATTGCACTAACAGCTTTTTTTGCGTGTGTGTCAATCTACATATATGAACATAATCTAATCGAATATATTTATTGAAGAGAAAAAGTTTATTCATAATGAAAACTAAACATCTTTATCTTTATTAATAATTAATAAACTATAAAATGTAAACATTTGATAAGAATTGACACTATGAAAGTACTGTATTTTTTTTAATTATATATAAGACGTGAATTGTTATTATCCATGTTTTTGAATAATAATTTATATTCTATTTAATGTGCGATATTACATTATTTACATTAAATTCTTCTGTGAACAATCGAACTATTAATATAATAAAATTTCATGATTTTATTATATTATTAACATAAATTTTCAATAATAATCGAATAGATTAACTTTTCGAACTGTTTCAAGACTTCAGCATGTGTTTTATATATCGATATTATTTTACGTAAATGTAGATGATCTCGATCTTGTTAATGATGATGATGGTGATCTTTGTAGAGTTGTTAAATCATCTTTTAATAATGGTATTGGATTTTCTATTGTAGATTCTTGTAATGGTTCAATAAAAAAAGATTTCGAACCAGTCAACAACGATCGTGATTGATCTTGAAAAAAGAAAAGATCAAATAAAAACCTAGTGATGAAAATATTGAAAATCTATAATTACATCGTGATGCTGTAGTTTGATTTTGTTTGATACTCGGTAAGAGTTTATTTCGTAATTTAGATATTATTGTTAGATTCGATTGTTCAGTTGAAGATAATTGTTCATCATTGAATATTCTAGTTGATTGTGTCTTCAATGGATTAACATTCTATTTAAAATATATTCATTAAACATCAGAAATACATGAAATATTAATTCTAATAACGAAAAAAAATTTTTGTTATAGATCTGTGAGAAAAATTTTAGATCGAAATATTGTCATTCGATTTTGTTGATATATACTAAGCCGGAAGTTGAAATTCTAATAAAATGCTTATAATTCTAAATAGAAGGTCTCAAAAGATTTATCCTCTTGAAGTTTTTCATATTTCCACTGGACTGTACCTTATGCACAGCGTCTGAATTCAAAAGTGATTGACCTATTGAAGATATTCTCTCGTAGGTGTTCAATCGTTTTTCAATAGGGACTATATACATCATCTTGGTCCTAATGAGCAATGTATACCCGAAAAAAAAGCTCAGACTATTAGTATGATTTATTATGAGAGTTTCAGATCATTTGATTGCTTCTATGCTAAGAGTACGGCTATAATAAAAGCACGTTCTTCTACGTCGATCATGTACTCACAACAAATTCCAATGTTTTTATTCCAAAATAGGAGCAATTAAAAAATCTGAAATTCAATTTTCCTGCTATTCCCAAGAGGCCCACGGAATTCTGCTAAAAAAAAGCTGTTAGCACAATCCCTGCAATATTAAAATGTGAAACACAATTTAGCTGCTGTTGCTAATCACAGGAAGATTATTTTGGAACACAAACAAGCTCATTGATCAAATGTTTTTCAGAGGTATTCATAACGCATTAGAACCTACATGATATACATAGTCTCGACTCAAAAGTGATTTAACACTTGAAAACGTTTCCTTGCTAGAGACAGTTCAGCTATTTCTCATTGGAAAAAAGAATATTTTCGTTCAACTTCAATCAATTTCCTATCGAAATCGATTCGTATTTCTTCATTGGATTCATATTCTATAGCAAATTTATTATATTTACCATAGTTGATAGAATTAATGGCTTTGTTGTTGTCGATTGTAGACTAATTAAATTTCCGAATGATTGAGATTTATCTTCTTCGATTGAACAAATTTTAGGTCGTGTTGTACTGTAGAGAAAAAGTAAAATAAAGATCTTTCTTTTTTGAATGTTGTAGACTTACTTATACAAAGCTAAAGATAAAAAATTTTGTAATGAAATCCAAAAAAGTTCATTCCATTGTTTAGAAAAATAAATTTGAAATATAGAATTTTCTTCAGGATTTTTAATAAATGGTAATGTAAACCATTCTTTAGTCCATTCATTTGTTTGTTGTAAAAATTTTGTTAAACGTTCAAAAAATTCATTTATTTTATCTATTTTAGATGATTTAATTGCATGTATTAAATAACAACGATATAAATTAATACGAATTTTTGTAAATATATTTATTAATTGTTGAGAATCAATTGTTAATGTTGATAAAAGATGTTGTTCAATTTGTGTCCAATAATCAATTAAATTATTTATATCAAATTGATGAATATAAACTGTTAATCGTTCAATAATACGATCAGCACGATATTGTCCAAATGGTATTTTTAATAATTCATTATCGAATATACGTGATGTAGATGTTAAATTACGATATTGAAAATAATCACGAATAATATCATTAATAAATGTAAATGAAGTAGTCATTATGAATTTGATTTTTAAATGATTGAATAAATTTATCTATGCTTATTTATTATTTGACATCAATTATTCTGATTGGTCATTTGTTTTTTCATTTTTATTTATTTATTTATTCTTCACTTAAATCATAATCTTTGATGGTAAGTTTTGAAAAAAAACAAACTTAATGTTGAAAAGTATCTATATTGAATTTCGAAAAATTCTTAGACAATTTTAAAACGATAGATGGCAGAAAAATTAGTAAAAAAAAAAAGAAAAGTCAATCTTAGTAATTAAAATGAAAAATAATGTAATGTATATTTTAATAATTATTCGGAATTTTCTTGTATAGAAAATATCTTTAAGAATGCGAAATTCGTATATTTGTAAATTAAAGAGTTTGATTATATTCGATTCAAGTGAATGCTAACTAAGTATTTTTACGAAAAAAGTCCAAGATATACAAGTAATCGACATAAATTTCTAACTATTGAATATGTAGTAAGACTGTAAATACCTTGAAATACGAATATTTCAGTTCGTGCATCCTATGAACAGTTCATAGTTTAAATTGATTAATTAATATTCGTTTGATCCTAATATGATCAATCATCTTAGTTTATAGTATATAACCTTCTATTGTAAGATTAGAAACCATATATTGTTTAGCTTTAGTCTGTTGTTCTTGTTAAACGAGTTTGTTATTAATTAATAATTTAAATTCGATTCGTTTTTTTTTTGATCGATATGATTATATTATGATTCCAACGACGTCTTATCAAGGCCTGTAGACATGAAACACAATCAGAGTTGAATTTAACTTCGACTTTGTTTTGTACACGAATACCTCTAGAAGCCATTGTTGAAACCTTCAGATTGCACAGTAAATATCGGAGCACAAAAATTACTATTCATAAAAATTCATATGTTAATACTGAATTTTCGCCAAAAAAGTTTAGTTGGCTCCATGCAGGACTCAAGTACTTACTCTCATAAATCTTGCAGAAATTTTCTTATGTGTTATGAACATCTGATTGTTAATTACAAGACTATTTTTGAATAAAATTACATAAAGGATCCACCGTACTAATTTTCTTATGATCAATTATATGCTGCATACTAGAGTCCGTCGGGTAGAAAATTTTCGGACTCGGACTCAATTGAATTTGAAACTAACTCGACAGGTTCTACTGTAGATAGAGCGTTTTAATAGCTACATAAAATATATCTAAATCATTGATAAATTCTATCAAAACGAATTTTTTTTTCTATAGAGAGTATACCAGTAGTTCTATGATTACACCAAATTTTAATAGTAAGAGCTTCTCTTGCTTTCAGATCAGAGTATACTATTTCAGCAATGATTTTATATTTTAATAGATTTGTTATGATCGAACATTTTCAAAATACAAATATTTCTATCTAGTAGATTTTCCTAAGCTCTAAGATAGTGGAAAAAAGTTTAATAATAACGTATTTTTCTATAATGTTAAGCCATTAGCTCAAATCCAAATAGTGATTTTAATAGATACTGGAGTTTTCTATCTAATGCATTTGATAGCGAGATTTCATAATGCAAGATTTCTAAAAAACGAGACACGGTAGTTTTTAACTCTCAGAAGACTTTGTCAGAGCTGTTTCAAAGTGCACAAAATTTTAACTTTTTAATGGAAGGTCGCAGGAAATGCGGTAATCCCTCATTTTGTTCAGAATTTTTTGCTCTTTAACATGGCTTCGGCAAAGCCTTCTGACACCTGAAAACTACCTTGTCCAGGTTTTTTTTTAAAAACTTTACTATATGAAATCTTGGTATGCAATGCATTATATAGAAAACTCCATTGGTTGTTAAACTTTTTTCTACCATCTCATCTATTACAAAAATAAATTCTAAAGGAGTAGAAATAATATTGCAAAAAGGTAGTTTCTTCGACGACTCTGATTAGTTGGATGTTAATGCCAACATAGAAGATATTCGAAGTGTTATTAGCGAGAATTTGTCTTTCTATTTATTTAATAACAAAAAAAAAAAATTAGTTTGTTCTTTTATATCATTAAATAATTTTTTGATACAATTGAAGAATTTTTGTTTCGTTCAACTAGCTTCATTAATTTTCTTCATTTAATTGTGGGTTGTCTTTTTTTTTTATTTTCTAAAGAATATTTAACAGAAAATTTGACATATAGGTATAATCTATTTCCGACAAAAAGAGAGAAATAAAAAAGGCTTGAACAATCAATTGCGAAATTATGTGTGATATTTCTCGTCTAGATGATGAAATGAATCGTAAGTTATTTACCGAACAAATAAAATAGACGAAAAAAAAAAGAGATTATCACATTAGAAATGTTTGAAACAGGCAAACATCTTCTGTTTGGTTGAATCAAATCAGTTTACTGAAGAATAATGTTCATAACATAACGAAACAACAACTGATAGGCTATACATATTGTTCATAACAAAATGAATCGGTTGTATAAAAAAGCAATTTAACATTTTCGTTATCAAAGGTGAGATAATTTGTTAATTCAAAGAAATGTAGAGAATCTGAATTTGAATCAATAAATTTCTATTCATTATTCTATTACATAAGAATTTCCTCTGAGATAATATAGAAATCAATAGTAATCGAGCAAAAAATTGATCCTACTACTCTTAATAAAAAAAAAAGGATTTTTCTTTGTGAGTTTATCTTGCTAATACTATTAGTCATATTTAATATGACTAATCATATTTGTCTTAGCATCAGTATGCAAGAACAAAATCTATTGAACATAATTTAAACAGAAAAAAGAATTGCTCATTAGTTTTTCGATAATAATTCAAATTTTTCCTTTCATTGAGACATTTCAATAATGTACAAAGTCCGTATTCACTAGAATTTCATGATTCACTCATGAATCATACAGTTTTTTTTGTTCTTTTGTTTCTATTAATATAGAAAATATGATATTATTTAATATTAATGACATTTAATTTGAATTATATCTTTTAAAGTCTATTGTATTTAAAAAAAAAAATAAAACAAAATATGTAACATTTTATTTTCAGATATAAAATATGACTACAACTTCTAATAATAATAATAATAATAATAATGCTGGAGATCTTCGTGAACAAGGTAATCAAGCATTTAAACAAGGTAAATTTCAAGATGCAATTGATCAATATACTGAAGCATTAAATCTATTAACTAATCTTTCATTATCTGAAACCATAAAAAATGAATTAACAAAATGTTATAGTAATCGTTCACAATGTTATATTAATTTAAATCAATATGAAGATGCTATTGAAGATACAACACGAGGTAAAGAAATTATTTTGTTTTTTTTTGTTTTTTTTTCTCATATATTTTGAAAATTTTTAGCACTTGAATATACACCTACTGATCAAAAATCTTTATATCGTCGAGCAACTGCATTTGAACATTTAGGAAAATTACATGAAGCTATATCAGATGCACAACGTTTAATATCAATATCACCAAAAAGTAGTTCAAATGATGAACAAACAAATACTCTTTTAAGAAAATTACGTGAAAGTGCACAAAGCAAAGTATGAGGGAAAAAAAAGTAATAAATTCATAATTTGTATTTTTATTTTCTAAAGCATACTCAACAAACACAATTAACATCTCAAATTCAACAAATGTTTGAAGCTATAAATATAAAATCTAATCAAGAAGCAGTATGTATATAAGATATCTTTAATTAATTATTACAAATTTTTTATTTTTAAAGGCATTGAATAATCTTCTTGTTATATCACGTGAAGATGCTGGTGCAGAAGGAATTCTTGCTTATGATTGTGATCTACGACAAATAAAGGAATTTATTCAAACAAATGAACGAATTACTATTCTTGGTATTATAAGAGTATTGGCTTCGATTATTAGAAATTCATATAAACGAGTAAGAGATATATAAGAAAATTTATCGTTTCTGAATCTGAAGTCGATTAATTGGTACGAGTATATAAATAATCTATACTATATGTTAAAGCAGTGGTAAGACATTAGAAAAACAATGCGATCGGTTAGGTGTATGATCAATATTTGATCGTCATTGAATATTAATAATTGTGTTTCATAACTCATTATTTAATCATAATTTATTAGAGAAAGTCTCCTATTGAAAATACTTATGAAATAAAAAGATATACATACACATCGTCTTTGTTTTTGTTGTTGTCTAGGCTGAAATGGTTTATCATAAACTTGGTCTTCAATTAATTGCTCGCTGTTTATCAATGGATGATACAGAAATACCTGCAAGTACAACTATTTTAGTTCATAATATGATTATGTCAATATGTGATCTTGAAAATCGTCGAAAAATTCAAAAACCTATAAATGTACCTTTTAATTTCGGTATTTTCATTTTTTTGTTTTCGTTAATATTCAATAGTGATATTTTTTTAATTTTAAATGTAGATCAATCTGTAATTGAATTTATTAATAATATATTTCGTATGTTCAATGAATTAATTGATGATAAAACATGTTCAGCTATTGGTCGTGATTGTTGTCTTGATCTTGTTGCTAAATTTGTTGATCGAGCAAATGGTTGTAATTGGATTAGTAAATTTATAGTCTCAGGTATTTATTTAAATTAATACCATTGATAGATTTGAGAATATTCAATTAAAAATCGAGAATGGTATCTGTTTGTGAACTATAATTTTAATAATCGGAAGAGATAATTAGAAGATTTTGTTGTATACAGAATTTGATGGAGTTTAGTAACTTAGCAGAATCATAAAAGAGAATCTTTTTTTTTGAAATACCTTTAATGAATTTAATTTTATGATGCTTGTAACTTTTTAAGAGAAGATTAATCGTATCGAATTCTATATGTGATAGTACTTCTCTTATTCTCTCATTCTGTTTTTAAAAGTTGTAGAATATTAAGAAATGTCGTTCTCGAATTAACTGACTTTCAAGAAAGTACTTGCAAGTCTAATCTCGATATTTATTTAAACTTTTTCTTTTCTTTTCTTTTTTTCTATTTTAATAGGTATACCCAAAGTCCTTCGAGTAGCAGCAACGGTACCTAATTTTCCAGATAATGATAAAAAATCATATTCAATAACTGAACAAACTAAAATGCATATTTCTTGTGTACTTAGTGTGGTCTATCATGATTTATGCTCGGATAAAGAACGAGAAGAATTTAATAATGAATGTATAGAATTTATTAAGTAAGTTTATTTGAATATTAAAACTTGAATTTTCAGTATAAAATTTCAATGTATAGAAGTTTTGAAAATATATTACTTATACTTTGTAACTCTACATGAAGTAAAAGTGTGAATCACCAATCGAACTTATCTGTCGCTCATATGCAAAGCTTGTCAAGACTAGTGAACTCTACCATATGGAGTCTTTCTGAAGTTATAGTTATTTTGCATGATTATTCGATCTCTGACCAGATATTAACAGGAAAATCGAATGAAAAAATATGCACTCGAAACTTTGTCCATAAACAGGTCTCACAATTAGTAAGATCTTTCTATGGGCATATATCTTCATTCGATTGTTCCGCTAATATTTTACCAGAGGTCAAAAAGCCAGTAAAACTACTATAACTTCAGAAACACACCCTATGGGAACGAATTCTTGAAGGGTTCTTCTAGTGTCAACGAACCTTCTACATATAAGCGACAGATGAACTCGATTGGGTAGTTCACACTGTATGCAGGAAAAAAAACTTACACCTAAATATTTTATTACTTTTAGAGCTTTACATGACAAAGATGATATACAATCACGAGTACGAACAATATCTGTTTTGTCTGTTCTTTTACAAGGTCCTTTTGATACTGGTAATGCAATCTTAGGTAGTCAAAATTTAGTAGATTTAATGTTACAAATGGCTAGTTCAAATGATCCAATACAAGAAGTAATTTGAAGAATGTTTTTTTTATTATTGTAATTCAATTTTTTGTTTCTCTAATTTTAGCGTATTGCAGTTGAAGCTATTGTTTTATCAGCATCAAAAAAAGATAAAGCAGCTGGTATTATACAACAAGGTGCTAATATTCTTAAAAATCTCTATCGATCAACAAATGAAGATATTAAAGTACTTGCTCTTGTGGTATGATATATATAGCTATCGAATTATGTAAGTTTTAATTTTTATTTCGTCAAAAAAATTCTTTAGGGTTTATCAAAAATTGCATCAAGTAAAGGTACAGATACAAGTACAAGTCTTGTTGCTGAAGGTTCATGTCAAACACTTAGTCGTGCATGTTGCAAGTATAGAAAGATTATTTTTTTTTGATTTTATTCATTTTGAATTATTTCTTTTTTTCTTCTTTTTGTCAGATTTTTAACAACAAATCAAAGTTTTGATATTCGTCGTTGGTCAGCTGATGGTTTGGCTTATTTATGTTTAGATGCTGATGTTAAAGAAGAACTTGTTGATAATTTATCAGCATTGAAAGCTCTTTTTACTTTATGTCAATGTCAAGATGCACATGTTTTATATTCAATAATAACAATATTTGTTAATTTAACTAATACATATGATATAAAAAAACCGGATAAAGAAATGACTGAATTAGCTACTTATGCTAAACAACATATACCAAAAGAACATCCAAAAGTAAATTTAATAGAAGAATAGTTTAGAGAAAATAATATGATTTTGATAAATAGGATGAAAAAACATTTTTTGATGAACGTCGACGAAAATTAGTCGAAGCTGGAATTATTCCTGTTTTAGTACAATTATGTAAACATAAAAGTGAAAATTGTCGTGAACAAATAGCTCGGTATAAAAATAAATATTATAATAGATTTAAAATTTTTATTTATTTTAGAGTATTTCTTGGTCTTTGTGAAAATGAAAAATATCGTGGACCAATTGTTGCTGCTGGTGGAGCTAAAGTATATTAAAGAAAATTTTCCTAGAAAAAAAAAACTGATTCTTATAATATATTTCATACAAAATCTTTTATTGATCAGCTATTAAAAATAAATACATATTATCATCCACTTAAGGGTTCTTCTCACAAAATCTAACATCGAGAGTGTACATGAGATATTGCTGCAGAGCTCGAAAATCACAGTTTGTCTAGTATCGACAATTAATTAGAAAATTTGTTTTCCATCATCTAAAGGACTATGCATTTATCTATCGATAGAAAAAAGAACACAGCTCTCGAGTATGAAGTATATTGAGAAAAAAAAGCAAAAGAAGTTTTTATCTTTTATATAGTCCGTCTATGACTACTTGAAATGAAGATGAAGCATAAATATATTATATGTCAATCAAATCATTTATCTATATTCATTAGGTTGTTCTCGTACGGGATTTTATCGCGATAAATGATGTTACTTTTATATTTTTTTTACACCATTCAACAGTGTACTAAAGATAGAAACATAAAAAATTAATTTTAGACATGAATGAAAAAAAGATCCACAATCTTCCAAGAATTAGAAAAAAAAATAAGAGAGTAGACTTTCAGTTTTAAGCGTATGATTGTTACGATCTGTATAGGAGGGTCCGAAAATTCTATGTCTATACTTTAATACTCCTTTTAGATCGTGTTTCACAATACTGTCCTAATCAATTAATGATTTCATATTTTCTAATTAGTAATAACAATGTGATAGACTTATTTTTTGACACTATGTCTATGGTGAGTCATTGCTAAAGTATCTGTCACGTCTAAGGGGAGTAGGAGTTGAAATTTCTATCCCTATATTTCAACATTCTTATTAATTCGCGGTTTACAAAAGCTCACAAATCATTCAATAAAACTTGCTGGTTGTCATTAAACACAGATAGAATCCGATTTATCCAATCTCTTCTTTCGTTTGCTCAAACTCAAAATACATTTATAAAAATGACATCAACCATCCTTGTAAATGTGGTTTTCATATTTCGACAAAATAAAAGATCTTAAAAAGTCGATATCTATTCACACATTCAACTCTGTAGTTTTAATTCTTCATAAGTAATAGTACGCAGTATATTATCCATCGTGAGAGTAGAGAGGACGACAATCTTTTGCAGATCAGTTTGACTCTCCCAGAGTTTTAAGTCGCCCTTCCGCAAGAGAATATCTAGACAAAACATTGATAGTACGTCCATTCTCATATTGTTCGAGTAGAGATTATTGGCTATCTGCGATTACATCGAGTAAAAAGCAAACCATGTTCCATATAACGAGTTTCTATTTCTTTTTTTTTTAGGCATTACTTCCACTTGCATTGGAAGGAACATCTATTGGTATGACAAAAGCAACACAAGCATTAGCTAAAATTGCTATAACAACAAATCCAGAAATAGCTTTTCCTGGACAACGTGTATGTTATTATATAATCGATTTTTATTTGAAATATAAATCTTATATTTTTTTAGATGCTTGAACTTGTACGACCAATAATAAAACTTTTAAAAATTGAACATACAGCATTAGAAAATTTTGAAGCATTAATGGCTTTAACAAATTTAGCTAGTATTGGTGAAAGTGTTCGAAAACGTATTTTAAAAGAAGATGGATTTTCAAATATAGAACAATATCTGTTTGAAGAACATCCAATGTTAAAACGAGCAGCTGTTGAATGTATGTGTAATTTAGTTGTTCAAGAAGAAGTAAATCAATTAATAATTAATAAATTTTATTTGATAATGATTTTATTATTTTTATTATTATTAGATTATGAAATATTTTACAAGTGAAAATGATCGTATTAAATTATTAGTTTTATTATGTGGTGAAGAAGATGAATTATTAATAAAAGCAGCTTTAGGAACATTAGCTGTTTTATCATCTTTACAAGCTGATCTTGAATATATAAAAGATTTAAATTTAGAAGATGAAGAACGTAAACGTTTAAATGATTTAATTCAAAATAATCGAATTATATGTGAAAAAATACTTGATGTTTGTATTTGATTTTCTTTTATTAAATTTTATTATTTTATTTTTATTTAGGTTAAATCATTTACTGAAATTTTTAAACAATTATGTGCTTGCAACAATCCAGATTTACAATTTCGAGCATTTTATATAATTCGTAATATAGTTAAAACTAATAAAGAACTTGGAATACGTATTGTTGAAACAGAATTAATGGATATTTTATTTGCTATTAAAGAAATTAAAGATGATCGTCTAATCAATGAAAAGGTATGTTAAAATTATCGATTACATCTAGAGACTTGCAGAACAAACTTTTTTTCGAATCCCATTTTATTTTCAAAATATTCCGATTCTGAATATCTCATGGGGTCGTAACAAATTTAATTCGAAATTGTTCCATAGGACTTTAGTTATATTAAGTTTTAATATCATTCAATAAGATGAAATTAGACATGTATCGGTATCAGTATTACTGATACTTTTGTCGGATATTTATTAAAATGCTACTCATCATTTTTTAAATAGCTTTCAATCGTTTATAGAAGAAGTTCTTCATAGATATCATCTGTTTCGTTGTCTATTTCTACAACTTTTCGTAACAACCTAGACTCAAATTATATCAACGAGAATCGTATTTCCCATGTAATTTCCAGATTTCAGAACACTTCTCTTAAAGTATAAACCACGGTAGGAATGAAAAAATCGAGCAATTATATAGGAAATACAACACTCTTCGGGCTACATTTTGTCATAATTTAAGTCTAGATTGCTGTGAAGAAGATTATATCTATGAAGAACTTCATCGAACCTAATGAATATTACATAGATATGCGTCTCGAACACTACTCTATCTAATGGCAAAACCTTGACTTCGGATAGCTATAAAAGATTGAAAGTTATTCAAAAAATAGTGATTAGGATTTTAATAAAAATCCGACATTAGTTATAGGGCTGGGCGAATCATTTAAAGAGCTTTATAGAATCTTTTATAACTAAAATCTTTTGACTTATTTTAACTACCATTTAATCTAGAATAGTCTGGACTACAAAATAAGTTATAAAATTGTATTAGCTTCATAAGCTCAGCTATATAATTTTAGAAATAACTGACTTGAGTCATGGTTTTTGTAGAACATAGTTGAATCTAGATTAAATGTCACTAAAAGTAGATCAAAATATTTTAGCTGTAAGAATTTTTATTAGAACTCTTTAAATAAGTCGTGCAGTCTTGACTATTAGTTATTATTTACATAATAACTTTTGTCGATAGGATTTTTCGAAGAATTTTATGAAAAATCAACTTATTCAACACTATAATGCAATGTTACATTTAAGTTACTTTTCTCTTTGTCCAATTTATTTCACTGAGGATGTATAGTTTCAGTTTATTGACCATCGGCTCAGTATAGATGGTACATATCGCTTCCAAAAAGGCATATTTTGATAGAATTGATCTTTCAATGTTGCAGTATACATAGAATTTACACCAACATCCACATCCTATCATTTTTACTTAATAAACAAAGGTCAATTTTATATACGACATTGATATATCCTAATGATAATTAATCGTTTTAATAATTGTAAATAATTAGTAAAACTAATTTGGTCGATAATTTCTTTGTTGATTATATTCAGTGAAATTCAATATAAATTACTCAATAGATTTTGTTTAAATGAATTGAACTAATCATTATTAATTTGAGTCATGAATTGAATTTTTTAAGTTAGTTGAAAAGTGTAGAATCAATCAGGTTCTATTACGAAAACTTTCGAATGTTCCAAAAACAAAAAGAATCATAAGATTTTAATTTGATCAATGTTGTTTTTTTTGGATTATTTTAGAATCGTAAAATAGCTTCGGATATTGTTGAACTCTGTTTAAAATATGGCCTTATTCAACGAAATAAAGATCATACAATCAAAGAAGAAGATGAAACTACAGTTACGAATTAAAAAATAAAATAAAAATTTACAATTTCATCTTTTTTTTTGTTTTTATCTATAATAGTGTTATTATACAAATCTTCTTTTTTTTTCACATATATAATATGTCTTATGATAGATCATTAATAAAATACATTCCTATGTCTTTTTCAGAATAATATAAAATGTCAAATACTCATCCAAAATTCGAATTGATTGTACCATCGGCATCAACTTTTGATCCAATTAATTTAGAATCCGAAATTCTTCAATTATGTCTTCAATTTCCTAATGGTGTTAGTAATAAAATTCTTGAAAATTCATTTCCTAATATCACATTAGAACAACGTGTTAATGCTATAAATCGTCTATTAGCATTACATAAAATTGATTTATTAACATCTTCAACAGAACCAGGTACATATATTTATCGTATACGAGATCAAATAAATAAATCAAATTCATCAATATCAATTGGTAATGAAATAACAGATCCAATGGAAAGAACAGTTTATCAAATAGTTGAAGAAAGTGGAAATTTAGGTATTTGGATGCGTGATATTAGATTTAAAGTAAAATTATCTCCAACAATACTTAATAAAATACTTAAATCATTAGAAAGTAAAAAATTAATCAAAGCTGTCAAATCAGTACATGCTAATAAAAAAAAAGTAAAACAAAAAAAGAAAATTTCTATATAATAAAAGACAACTATAAGATTTTGACTACAAAACGGAATGTATGTAAGGTGTCAGCAATTTGAGTAAATCTTGTTTTTGACATATTCAATGTATTTGAGAAAAATTAGATTAAAAAATATCAGAAAAATTAATATACACGTAAAGTATCAAGTCTCGACAGCCTCAATATTTATCCAAATATTTCTTTTACTTTAAGTTCTGATGGTCAAAATCGTTGAATAGAAGATTAGGTATTTTTTAGAATTTTCTTGGAAACTCATGTACTAACATACAAGATATAGAAGATATTGTGCATGCATCCGTGCAAGATTTCCTATGCTAGTACTGAATCGAGTTTTCGTGAATACTCTTAGGATGAATCATATGAAATAGAAACTCGGATTTATGGTATTTTGTGCTATCAGATTGAAAAAACCGATTTTCTCAACAATCAAACAATATTTATTTGAAAAGCATGCATAATTTTTTTTTCATAACTGTATGAAGGGTAAAACCAGAAGAAATATTAAGGCTATCGAAACTTGATACTTTTGACGCATATCAATTATTCTAATTTGTTTTAATCTAATTTTCCTAAGTTCTACTGCAAAAGTATTGTTTGAGTATGTCAAAAAACAACATTTCTATAGGTAAGTTAACGAGATCTATCCAATTATGACAACAAATATAAAAGCCTACATGTATTTCTTTTTGTAGTCAAAAATCATCGGAAAATTTATAGTTATCGTTTATTTTAAATAAAAACAACACGATATTCTAGGTTTATATGTTATATGAATTAACACCAGATCCGTCTATTACCGGTGGTACATGGTATTCAGATCAAGAATTTGAAGCAGAATTTGTTAGAATTTTGAATGAACAATGTGCACGTTTATTAGATGAACGACGTGAAGAATCAATAGAAAAATTTCCAAATGATCCGTTTCTACAACGAACAAGTTCATTTATGTCTAGTTCTGAACTTGTTTCAGTTATTAATCAAATGGGTATTTCTACAGTAACATTAACTGTACAAGATATCGAATCAATATTATATACACTTATTTGTGATGGAAAAATTGAAAAAATGATAGTAGCTTCAACGACAATGAATGCAAATGGAACTAAACAAAATTTATATAAATCAATTAAATCAATGATTGACTCAGCACCAATTGTACGAAATCCGTGTGGTATTTGTCCTATTTTTAATGATTGTCATGATGAAGGATTGATTACACCTAAAACGTGTATTTATTTAAATAAATGGCTTAATTTTTGACACATATCAGTGTTTTTGTTGAATGAGTATTATCATTTGCAGAATCAACTGAGAATCAATGAATTCAGTACGCGTAACAGACAAGACCAAAGTTGGAATCATTGCTGAACTAGTTGGCTTGCCGGTCGCCTGTTCAGTCTTGAAAAAGATGTGGGTGTGGAGTATGAGTGTGAATGTACGGATTGGGGTGGGTGTGAGTGTGGTTTCTACCTACACCCACGATAATAAAGTATCATAAGGATTGAAATACTGATCTAATCGGGGTGTGAGTGTGAACAAAAGCAGAACCCACGCCCTCACTGATTTGTCCACTTGATAGTATAAAACAGAAAAAGAACTGACAGTCAATCTATAATTTCTCGAAAATGATTATGTCAATTCTCAAACTGATTAGACAAGTTAAAGATTCCTATTTAGGTAGTTTTGAGTGCTTCTGTGCTTCTAATCGACTCACAACTTAGCTACAACACAAAAAAAGTTGATCGCTATAGAAGTCCACTGGGCTTCTATTCTGTTGAGAGAGGAGGAATTATTTTTAATTTAATTAGAAAAGTTTATGATAAATTCTATTAGATAGATGTTCCTATTAGAAATGATAATTTTCTCCTAAAAAACATTTTCATCTATCTATAATGATATATTAATCTTTATATAGAGCTATTACACGTAATTATTGAAATCTCTTCTGAAATTTTGGATAGTGGAAAAACGATCACTATAGAAAAGGATCTAAGAATTATTTATTCAAATGAAGAAGAATAACCAACATACAACTTAGATGATCTTTATAATATTGAATATTTAGCAAAATATATCGATAGTAAAAAGCAATGATTATCATAAACAACAAGCATGTCGTTTGATTAATAATCAATTTACTAAACGAGATCATCTCAAATCAAAAAGTATTATTGTAATATTTATATTGAAAAGAAAAAAAGTTTGAATTTTCGATATAGTGGAAGTAATAATTGAACGTCCACCAGAACTTATTCATGATGGTAAAACAGTAACATTTAGAAAAGAAGATCATCATATAATTATTGCTAATTTTCCTTATCATCGTCGATCAAAATCTGAATCAGATAAAAATAAAATAAATAGATTTTATCTTATTATCAATTCCAAAATAGATTCATTTTCGTTAAATCTTAGACAACAAATACCGATAGTTCAACAATTGATTAAATAATAACAATAGAAGAATTTATGTTGAACAATACATTAAATCTATCTTTGATAGAAAATGATCGATTATTACAGTTTCATATTCAATTCAGAGTGTGGATATGGATGCAAGTATTTAGAAAAGATCCCACCCATGTCCACACCCACACCCAGAGATACTATTTTATTTGTTGATATTAACGATTTAAGTATAACTTCTCATTCAGTTTTTATTAATATTAACGGTTTCATTATCAGTCAATATTTAATATAAAATTAATGTCAAGAATTCATTCTTATATGATTGAACTAAATAGATTTTTCTTCATATCTTAAACGTCAATAATCATCGAATTCATAATACATTAATTATTCATCATTTATTCAATCAATAATTTCTCTCTTTTCTCAATGTATTTCTATTTTTTTTTGAATAAATTTCTTTTTCATATATCTATCCTTTCTTCTGTTTATTTATATACTTATTTAAAAAAAGAAAAATACGAGAAGTCTTCTTAAATTAAAAAACTGATTATGTAAAATATAGACGACATTATATAATTAAAATTAATAGATAGATTAGACTAATCTGCAGTACAAGCCGGAAGGATAATTAAGCTAGGCTGAAAAGAGATCACTCGATGGATTTTAAATTTATATCAATTCTATCTCTCAACTATACTTTGAATAAAAATGTGCAATATCCAAAATAAATACTCTCATTAGACTGAAACCTGTAATCATATCTGTTAGCTTTGATTAATTCCAAATAGCTCGAATTCATATTGAAATAACTGACATAATTTATGGTCATTTCTAATAAGTTCTGATTCTAAAATCGAAATAAAAATTAGTTAGTCTTCAACTTCAATGCTCTAAGAATATCTGCCAGTTGATATATTCAGATATTATTACTTGTGTATAATAAGAAAATTGATATTCTTGCAAGATTAGATTTAATTAACATATGATGCAAAAGTAACCAAACAAATGTCGGTCTTTTTTCTCTTCGATAGTAGACGGTTGGAAGAAAAATCTTTTAACATCAGATAGAGAATTTTTTCGTCTTTCGAATCATACAGAACTGGTTTTTATCGCATGTTCATAAATGAATCTGTGCAACAAGAAAAGTACCCTGAAAATGAATTCGCATTTTTTTTATAAATTACAGCACAAAATATGAATCCTTATATCTCTTCGATAAATACCTTCTAGAAGGAATATTTTTCTATCAGTTGATAGAAAATTTTCTCCTCTGTCAGACAGTATATTATTTGTATTTATGATACGTTCGCAGATAAAATGAGACAAGAAAAAAGAGAAATACCCGTGCAATAAACTTGAGATGTTTTTGACAAGTTTATAAAGATGAAATTAATCACTGTTTCACAAGATCTTCCCAATAAGCCGACAGAAATAGAATTAACTGTTATCTTAAACTATGCTTCTGACGTGTTCATATAAAAATCTCAAATGTAGGGTGCAAATACTTTTCTTTTTCTTACTCTCATTTTATTTACGAATGTATAACAAATATAAATACACTATACTGTTCGAAAGAGAAAAAAATGTCCTGTCGACTGTTGGAAAAATATTTCTTTCAGAACGTGTTTCTCAAGAAAAAATGATATAGGGATCAACATTTCTTGTCGTTCTTTTGAATCTCACAAAAAATGCAGATTTGTTTTAAGGATGCTTGTTATTCTTCTTATCTCATATCGTTTATGAACGTTTTGATAAAAATAAGTTATGTATGATTTGAAAGATGAAAAAATTCTCTGTCTTCTCGTAAAAAAGCTTTCTTTCAGCGGCCTTCTATCGATAAGAGATAAGGGCTGACATTTGTCCAGTGACTTTTGCATTATATGTTATCTTACGAACAATAAAAATTGAAAAAAAAGATACATTAAAGACACGATTAAAATAAGACATGCTTATTTTTTTAAATGAAATCACCATTTTAGAGCAAGTATACGACCAATGGAACAATCCGATTTCTTCTTTGGCTAATTATCAATTTGTTGAGTGCTTGTAAAACTTGCCGTCGAAATCGTTTCGAAGCTGCACAATAACAATAGAAAGAACTCTGAAAATCGAAAAAAAAATATTAATTGAAAAAAATAATATTGAAAAATATACCGCATTCATATTATAAGCATAAATGAAGAAAAAAACATTTGCTAATTGTTCTTGTGTTTGACGATAAATATTTTTAGTAATATTTGCTGTGGAAGTAAAATAAATTTGTGCAATCGTATACGGAGCTTGAAAAAGTAAGACAATAGAAATTGTGAATAAAGCCATTTTTATTGTTTGTCTATTAAAAATAGAAAGTGTACGTTGTTGATTTATATTAAATCTATGGATATTTCGATAAGAAAGATATCCAAATAAACTGATTATTAAAATCGGAATAATATTAGATAATCCTAATATAGTAAAATAACTTCGATATTGTGCATAGATTGTATTTGTTGTTTGACATCTCCAATTGGGTATTAAATTAATTTGTTGCATGAAGTAATATGGAGATTCATTACAAATCCAAATAAATAAAAATCCAAAAACTAAATAATGAGCTCTTCGAATAGTGCTTTGTTGACGTAAAATCGGATTTTGAGAAGAACATAAAAATGAATCAATTGATTGTAAACAAAGACAAGTGTAAGAACAAAGAGAATTTATATATAATAATGGAATACGAAATCTACACCAAGCTTCACTTGTCACAGCATATGAACGAAAACCTTGAATTATAATATGACCAATCAGACCAATAATAAGCGCATTTAAATCAAAAAATGATTTAGCAAACATATAAAATGAACATGCATTTGTTTTATACCTACTCAAACTAAGAAAAACAATAATATTCATAAGATTACCCACAATACCAACTATAAGTATTGGAAAACCAACTGCGAAAGCTATACATTTAGTAACTAATTGAAGTTGAATAATACTTGTATCATTCGAAGACATTTTTCATTGAAGAAATCTAGAAGATTACACAAATATATGTTTTTTTTTTAAATTTTTAATATGAAATAAAAAGATTTACAAGTCAACATGTCATATAAGCACTAAGAAAATAATATCTTTCTTTTTTTTTCTTTCTTACTATGCGCAAATACTATTGGGACTTATTTTTACTTTTTCTAACAGATTAAATTAAAATGGTTTCGGTCGCATGAAGGTATTCATAATGACGTCAAATGACTAATGAACTTATGTTAACCTGGAGGTTAGAGAAAAAAAAGCTGTTCAAAACAGAAGACGATACTTTAACTCAATAACCTTAATAATTTCTACTTTTTAATTTTAAGATCTTTGATTTTCTCTAACTAATTCAGTTAGAACTTGACCGTTGCTTATAAATAATATAAGTTTTATGTAAGTAAAAAGAAAGAATAAAAAATCTATTTTAATTATTCTTGTTAGAAATATGTCTAACAGAATATATAATAAATATTAAAATGATAACTTTAATACAATGATAAATATATGTCTCTATTAGAAAAATTTCATCAACATAAAGATTAAAAATGTCTTCTTTTATTAATAAATATGCCATTAGAACTCTTTTACTTTTGTCTCCTCAATATACCTTTACTATTAAATTACATTGCAATTTTTTCACTAGAAGTTAAATAGATTCGTAATTATGAAAAGCATTCTCCAGAACAACATTACAAACGTCTACAGAGCGAATTTTATTAATTTGAAACAAAACGTTCTTATCATTTTCTTTTATGGACAATACAAAGAGATTGCGACTAAAATAAACAAAATAAAAGATACTCTATTAAAAAATTTTCTTGAAGACCTAAATGACGAAAAATTAGAATTAAATAAAAAAAATACTTCAAATGAATGGAGATTTTTCCCAAAATATTAAATTTCATTCTAAAGAACAGAAGAATATCTCGGTAATAGCGTGTAGTTATCAAGAATACATGAAGTAGTCTAAGCATTAGGTCTATTGTAAGAATAATTGACATGAGATGCCTAATTCGAATTATAATACAAATGCACTTTCAGTAGTGCTTAATCATTTCGAAAATAACTAAGAAAATAAAATATACATGCACCCATTTAGATAAATTATTATAAAAGCTATAAATGATGAAGACTTTGCTGTAAAGTTAGGCAAAAATGTTGCTTTTTTTTGCCATTTATCATTTCTGATAACAGCTATAAATGATGAAGACTTTACTGTAAAGTTAGGCAAAAATTTTTACTTTTTTGCCATTTATCATTTATGATGAAAGCTACAAATGATGAAGACTTTACTGTAAAGTTAGGCAAAAATCTTTACTTTTTTTGCCATTTATCATTTATCATTTATGATAAAAGCTATAAGTGATGCAGACTTTACAGTAAATTCATCACCATTTATAACTTTTACCATAAATGATAAATGGCAAAAAAGTAAATATTTTGCCTAATTTTACAGTAAAGTCTTCATCATTTATAGCTTTTATAATAAGTGATAAATGGCAAAAAAAGTAAAAATGTTTGCCTAACTTTATATTAAAGTCTTCATGATTTATAGCTGTTATCAGAAATGATAAATGGCAAAAAAAATAAAATTTTTTCCCTAACTTTACAGTAAAGTCATTACCATTTATCGCTTTTATGATAAATGGCAAGAAAAGTAAAACTTTTTGTCTAACTTCACAGTAAAGTCTTCATCATTTATAGCGTTTATAATAAATGATAAACGGCGAAAAAAGTAAAAAGTTTTGCCTAAGTTTACAATAAAGTCATCACCATTTATAGCTTTTATTATAAATAATAAATAGCTAAAAAAGTAAAATTTTTTGCCTAGCTTTACAGTAAAGCCTCCATGATTTATGTTTTATAATTAACGACAAGTGACGAAGAAAAAGTTTTATTCTTTTGCTAACATGAGTGCTGTGTTTTTTTTTCGATCTCCATTTATATTATAAGCCGAAGTAGGCAGCTGCTCTGCGACGGCCAAATAAGTGAATAAATAATCGAGGGTGTGGGTGTCGATATCGAGTGCACGTATGATTGAAGGTGAAAGTGTCTTCTACTAATCCACACCCACACCCTTAATAAATAATCATGTTGGAGTAAGAATCTGAGAACTGCCAAAAGAATTATAAGAACATTTCGGGATGTGGATGTGTGTTGTACACAAAATCCATGCTCGTATCTATACTCATTTTTGTTTGATCCGATTGAAAAAATAGTATCGATCCCTCTTATTTGTCCCACATCGCTATCATTTTTTCAGACTATCAACGTGTTGCTTTTATTGAGAATGATTGCGCTCGGTAGATTCCCGTTTCGTCGAAAACTTAATTGATTGTCCCGTTTCGTCGAAAAATTTGATATATTTTTTTTTTGTCATTCCCGTTTCGTCGAAAATGAAAAAGCGACTGTTCTTGTTTCGTCGAAAATGAAAAAACGACCGTTCCCGTTTCGTCGAAAAATTAAATTGTAATGAAAAAAGTTATAATCAAAGTGATAAGCTCAATTTCTTTGATTGACTTAAACTATTTCCTTAAAAAGAAATTAATTGATATCGCTATACTAGTAATCTATAATTTTTCAAAAGTATATATATGTAGAGTAAAAAGGGAAAAAACATTTTTTTTGTTATATTCATTCATTATTACACAAAACGATGCTATCTATTGTTGAAAGTAAACGTAATAAACCAACTTTATTACTTGATACTTTTCGCTACACACAAGATAAAATTTTAAACACAACTATTTATTGGAAATGTGAAAATCGTTCATGTCCTGGACGTGCTATACAATACGGTTCAAATCCACCAAGCATGAAGAAATTGCATAATCATGATGGTGATGAAATGAAATGTAAACAGGAAGAATTTCGAATGAAATTAAAAAGACGTGTTGAAGATTCACCACAAGCAGTAAAAAGAATTTATCGAGAAGAAATTATATCGTTGCATACAAATTCACCAGAAGTTACACCATTTATACCAATGTTTCATGAAATGAAAAATTCATTATATAAAACAAGAAATACAAGTTATCCACCTGCTCCACGTACAATTGATGATGTTAATATCGAAGGAATATGGAGTAAAACTTTAAGTGGTGAGCAATTTATTTTGCATAATTCAAAACATCTCATATTCGGGACATCAGAATCTCTTAAACAATTATCAAAAAGTGATAATGATCATTTATTTTTTGATGGAACGTTTAAATCATGTCCAAATCCATTCTATCAATTATATTCAGTTCATTCGGTAAACAGTGAATTATCAACACCAAAATTATATACTTTATTACCTGATAAAAAAGCTCCAACATACATATCAATTTTTAATAGTATATTAAATTTATGCCATATGAACAATATTGGTTTGAATCCTAAATTTATCACAATAGACTTTGAACAAGCTGCTATTATTGCCATTAAATTAATTTTTCCAAATGCCATTATTAAAGGATGCAATTTTCATTTTAACAAATGTATTTATTCCAAATTACAAGATTTAGGATTTCAATCTGCATTTATCAATAAAAAATCAAGTGACTTAAATGAAATTAATATAAGAAATCTTTATAAAAAAACATGCGCACTTGCATTTATGCCACCACAAGAAATTGGTAAATTATGGGTAACAATAATGGATGAATATCAAGATATTGAAAATATCGAAGGTTTTTATGATTATGTAACCAATACATGGATAGATGATGATGCATTATTTGATTATGTATTATGGAATTATTATAATTTTAAAAGTTTAAGAACTAATAATCATGTCGAAGGATGGCATCATCGATTAAATAATGATTTAAATAATGTTGTACATCCACATTTTTATCTGTTCATTCGCGCAATTCAAAATGATTATGCTTATAATTCAGCAATATCATCACGTCACTTAGCAACTGGTATATTACCTCCACGAAAAAAGTTATTTGTAAATCGAAATGCTCGATTACAGAATTTAGAAGAACGTTTTAAACAACAAACATTAACATTGAATGAATATCTTGAAAAAGTTATGCAATTAATCGGAATAAAAAAGTATTGATTTTTTTCTTTTCTATATTCATATCTTCTCTTAATAATTTCTTATTTATGTATCTAAATCTTCTCTATAATAAATTTTTTTTTGGTAAAACTTACCTACGAGTAATTAGGCACTATTCGTAATTAGTACGGCGAAAAAATCTCATCAAATTATATAATCTATTCTTCATTGATTAATTAGAATTTTTTTTTCGACGAAACGGGAATAGTTGTTTTTTCATTTTCGACGAAACGAGAATAGTCGTTTTTTCACTTTCGACGAAACGGGACCTAATCATTGCGCTCGATGATTCTGTGTATTGACAAAATCGATATTGCCATGTCGATCGAATGACAATATCACAGATTTATACAATTCATTACAGATTAACTGCAATATTTGTCCAATTTTATTGAAAATCATACAACATTCTCTTTTTTTTCTTGATTCGACTAGATGTATATAAAATGCACACTACATACACTCCTGGGCAAAAGTCTTTCCCCCCCCCCCTTTTTTTTCTTAAATTTTTAATATTTGCTTCTTTTTGTTATCGAACTAAACTATAGCAAAGATATTTTATGTTAATATGATGTATAGTCACCATTTGCTTCAATCAAGCATTGTACTCGTATTTTCATTCTGTCGACTAATTTGATAGCTAAGTCAATTGACTGTGCTTTCCATGCCTTTCTTATTTCTTGTTCCAACTCTTGAATTGTTTGAATTTCTTTTTGACTTACTGCATCCTTCATCATTGACCAAACATTTTCAATCGAGTTTTGATCTGGTGATGAAAAGAGCCAAGACAGAACCTGAATTTGACTGTTGGTCTTTCAACCGATCGGCAGACAAGATCTGTGTTTAGGATCATTGTCCTCTTGTAGGATTCAGCTAGCTGGATCTTCAAGAAATTGATAATGAGCAGTAGGCAACTTGTTTTGAAACACGTCTTCATACGTGCAACTTGAGAGGATATTTAACTGTACGAACAATTTTGGTAATACCTAAAAATTGCCAAACTTTTTCGCTGTTGCCAAGTTTGAATGTCTTCTCTTCAGTAAAGATTACTTTGTCCCAATTGAAATGTTGATGTTGTCGAGCTCGTATGAATCGTTGCTCATGATGTTTATCTATGAGTAAGGACTTTTTTTTAAAGATGGACCATAACTTCCATCGCTTTCACGTAATCGGCGTCTAACAGTACTTGGATCTATATTCACGCCATCCCCTTTTTTAGAATTTTTGAGATGTCATTTGATGTAATGTTCAGCTCACGTTTGACAATATTAGCAATCTTTGTATCTCTTTTCTTCGACGTGGCACGTGGTCGGTCAACTTTTGGTAAATTAGACAGGTCTTCATTTTGTTGCTATCTGGCAAGCCAATGCCATATGGTTTTTTTTCTTTCTCACCCAATGTACTTCGAAATAGCTTTATTTGATATTTTAGGACCCACTGCATGTAGTTTGAGAAAAACAAATGCATAGCGTTGTGATAGAGAAAGTGGCATGATTAAAATCTTATGAAAGAATGATGATAAAAACTAATCGCGATACCGATTCACATTTTACACATTAACAATTGTTACATAAGATTAGATTATCCGAACCAACGAATAAGAACAAAGAGAAGCAAGAGAGACTATTGTCTAGAGTTATTTATGTATTACGTTATTTCGATAATAAAAAGAAAGTAAATATTAAAAGTTAGAAAAAAAAGGCGGGCGAGAAAGACTTGTCTAGGGGTGTACACTATTGAGAAGAATTTTGTCTTTGTGAAGAACCTTCGTATCTATGGCTTGCTCGTCTCAGCCATAGTGTAGACGAGTTTCTCAGCGGCTACTTTGTTATCCATCATTCTTTGAAATCCTTCTTCGATTCCATTGAGTCCGCCTGCGATTTTGGTCACTTTATTCGGCTTAACAAGACCCTGAGGCAATAAGACATTGGAAAGTTGCAAGTAGAATTTCTCGGCAAATGCTTTATCCTCAGGTTTGACTTCATAATCTTGACCGAAGACGTTCATTTTGCGTCCGAAAATCGTATACATCATGATGCTGCGTTCTTTGATATGAGTTGGAACTTCTTTTGATACGCCAGGTAGTACGGTGACTACTTGTGGATTCAAACCGGTGAGTGGTGCGCACACTTTAGCAGTTGATCCGTTCTCTGAAACACAATCGATAGCGTAAGACAACTTATTTTGTGCTGCTTCTTTGATTTGCGAGATTACATTCGAATCCTTGTAATCAAAACAGATGTCAGCACCAAGTTCCTTCAAATAAGCATGACGAGCAGGCGAAGCTGTTGCGATAACAAAGCAGCCAGCTGCTTTGGCCAATTGAATAGCGTATTGACCAACACTGGTGCTACCTCCCCAAACGAGGACGCCATTGCCAGAAGTAGCAGGAGGAAAAGGCAAATTCATCTCATGAAAGAGACCAAGAGCTGCCGTGATACTGGCCAATGGAATTGTAGCGGCTGATTCCGAAGATAAGGTCGAAGGATAACGAAAAACCAATGATGCGTCCTGAACAACATACTCTGAAAAAGCTCCACGAATGCCCAAGGTGGCATCTAGGCCACCATGAACACAGCCAGCTACATGTTCACCTTTTTTGTAGTTTCCTGAAAGAAGAACAAAGGGCAAGCATATGAGAATAATACATCGAAACAGTTCTTCTGATTTGCTATTGATCAAATTGGTAGCATAGCCTCACGAGTGACGAGGATCTTGTTGGATCCTTCAGTACGGTCGCTTATTTTTCATAGGGCAGCAGAATTTTCTATGTCCTTTTACATCCTATGAGATCTATACAAATATCGATCAAAGGGCCAAAGTCTAAATAAGATCAACTCTGATCAATTATCAATCGTTCTGAATCATTGTAATAATTTGAGTCGAATTGGTACATATGCAAGACCTTTCTGAACGTGATAAAAAGGAGAACAATTGAGTACGAACCTACTGCTTCTTTGCCAACTTCAGCGACTTCACCAGCAAAATCACAACCGACAATCGAACC